CGCTTCTGGATCAGGTGCGAAATTAGGTCCTACGCGTTCTGCTTCGTCGGTGTTGACTTGTGCAGGTGTAACGTAACCGTTGTCAGCGAAATGGTAGTAGGCGTCGGCGTTGATGCTTTTGCGTGGGTTTTCGTCGTCCATTGGCACGTCGACGGAGCAGTAGGGGAGGGGTCCGGCTGCTTCCGAGGCTCCTTCCATGTTCTGCTCGTCCCAGTCAGCTTCGTCGTCTGCCGAGGCGAAGGCTCGGGTGCCTTGAAAACCAGCGGAGCGATCGGGGTTTTCTTCTTGCAAGTTGGCAAGGTAATACCGGAGGGTGAGGTTTTCGTAGAAAATAACGTCACGTGCTGCCACTGTCTCTTTTGTCTCGACGTCGAAAAATTTCCATGTGTTGTAATGCTTTTCAATGCCCAGGTGTAGCCCCCACTGTGCGCGTTGAGAGAATCGGCCGGCTCGTGCAGATGGGGGCCGGTACTGTACCATGCAGCCGAAGACTCTTAACATTTTTGTGCTGCCCTGCTTTCCTGTCCACAGCAGGTGCGGTGATGCGTTGTTCGGGAGCGATGGTGACGAGAGCAAGTTGTGCAACGTGACGGCGTGGTCCATTGCTTCGGGCCATTGGTGGTTGGGCAGGTGCATGCCACGTAGCAGCTTACGCATGGTGTTCTGGAGGGTTCTGTTCATCCTCTCTGCTACTCCTTGCTGTTGATGGGCGTAGGGAAGGGAGATGAGCCGCTTGATTCCTCTTTCAGCCAAGTACTGCTTGAACCTTTGTGAGGTGTATTCTCCTCCCCCGTCTGACTGGAAGCTCTTCAGTTTGACGCTCGATTCTCGCTCTGCTACTGGGAGCCACGCGACGAAGGCTTCAAAGGCCATGTCTTTGCTCGGAAGGTTTAGATGCCAGACGTATCGTGTGGCGGCGTCGATGAAGGTGATGGTGTAGTTGTACGCGTTTTGTCCAGGCTCACGGTTGTACAAGATGTCGCTGTACACCTTCTCGAGTGGTGCGTAAGCTGGTGCTCTTGGGTTGTGGTGAGACGCGAACGGTTGATGTGGTAAGTCAGCTTCGAGACAGGTGAAGCATGTTCCTCGAGCTCGCTGAAGTTCTCTGCCGTCAGTTAGGAGTAGAGAGTCTTTATCGAGTACGCTTGCTCTTATCGTGTTGTTTAACACCGTGTTGCTTGGATGTCCCATTCTTGCGTGCCAGGTTCCTTCGGTGGCGCGATGTCCGGGTGAGCGCCGATACATATCGGAGTTGGAATAGAAGCTGGCGGTGAAGTTGGCGCTTCGATGAACTTCACGTGGTGCTGGGTGTAGTTGTTGCGCGGGTGTCGGTGGTGTGTCGTCGACGAGGAGTGGTGCCGTTGAAGGACCAGCGACTGGCGTTGACGTTCCTGCTGCTGCCGATGTTGTCTCTGCTGCTGCCGATGTTGTCTCTGCTGCTGCCGTTGTTGCCTCTGCTGCTGTCGGTGTTGTTTCTGCTGCTAATGCTCGTGTTCGTTCTGCCTCAGGAATGGTATGTGAATACCAGAACCCTTCGGGGCTGAAGTCAGGGTCAAGATCCGGTGGGTGTGTCCAGGAGGTGAAGGTGACGATTCCATCGCTGTCGGCGGTGCCTAAGTCTGGAACGAAGTCGAGGACGAACACGTTATTCTTCAGTATGGCCTTGCCGATGTAAAGACCTCCTCTCCCGTGGTACAACTTGAACTCCTGTGTTGTGCTGTCTGCTTCGAGGTGGATGCCTTTCGCCATCAACTGGCTGACGCTCAGTAAGTTGTAGCCGAGTCCCTCCGCGATTAGGACCTTTGACATCTGCAGTATGACATTTGTTTCCCTTGACTGAAGTTGAACCACGCCTTGTCGTCGTGTGCGCAGGTTCTGATTGTTGGCGACGGTGATGACGACCTCGCGTTGAAGATGGTGTTCGCGTTGAACGAAGCGACCCGAAAAAACACATATGTTGCCCGCAGCAACTGTTCCTGGATGGCTCACTCTGGGCGATAGCTGCGTATGTCGGGTTCGGCTCCAGTGTCTCATGGCGCGGAGTCCTTTCGTCAAGTTGTTCTTCTGGTGAGTAGTGCGGTGGCGATTCAGTGATGCAGGAATCCGACAGTCTTGCCATGCAGCTGACGATGTTCCTTGCTCCTTGTGCAGGTTGTCCCGTCGGTGTCGTTTGAACTTGAGCGGTGGGGTTCGCTTGTGTTGAAGTGACTTGGCTGCTTGAAGGTCGAAGCTGTCGCTGCTGCGGTGTTGATTGTTGTCGATTCGGGCAGTGTGTGCGCAGATGTCCTTATATCTTGCAGATATGACAGAACGGAGGTACGGGTTTCGGTTGGTGTCGGTTGTTGTTGTTGTAGCGCCGTTGCGTGTGGAATGCAAACTCGGGTGCTGATGTTTTCTTCTTGTGCCGTTCCTCTTGCAGGTCCATGTCTTGTTGTTCAGCGTGGATTTCGGCGCAGAGTGCTGCTTCAGAGATCTTCCCGTGAGCTCGAAGTATGGCGCGAGTGGAGCGCCAATGAGGACCAAGTCCGCCGATGATGACTGTGACGAAGGCGTCTTCCGATATTGACCCTCCGCATCGAAGAAGTTTGTCGCGCAATTCACGACAGCGACTGATATACGCCATCCCCTTTTCACCTGGTTTCATTTCCACTGTTGTCAGTTGTGCCATTAACCGTTTCTGGTTAACGCTATCTGTTGCTTGATACAGATTCTTCAGGTGGTTGTACGCGAGCTCGGCGGAGTTGCCGTATCCTCGATAAGACCAGATATTTTGCTGTTGGGTTGGCGTGACGTTGCGCAGTAGGATCGTGTACGCCATCATCGACTGATAGGTATACTGTTGTTTGTCGTATTGTGTCCCGTGTGTTGGGTATTGATGTCTGTAGTTTCAGGACGTGCGCGAACTGCGACTGAACTTTAAGTGCGTCCAATGTTTTCTCTTGCTCATGTGAAGTTTGCTGGCGCGGCATGAAGCTGACTGAACCACGCTGAGGTTCATACGGGGCGAAGGTAGGTTGCTGCTGGTTTCCGCGCGCATAGGATGAGCCATCAAGACTCATCGGTGTGACGTCGTTGTTGTTGTTGCTGATGTTTGACTGCGCAGGTGCCATTTGCTGATGCTGTTCGTAGAAGGACATGAAGGAGAAAAACTTCTCCATCATGCTTGGGTCGAAGCTCGTAGCTTGATTTGCGGGAGTTTCAGTACACGTAGCTGCCGGTCTTGTTGCTGTGCCTTCCTCTGTCTGTAGACCAGAGGCAGGGGGTGGAGTAGGAGTGGTACCAGGAGAGCCGTTAGAGGAGCTTCTCTCCTTCTGAGTTGCCATGCCTTCTGACGTTGTGGGTGTCTTGATAATAGTTGAGTTTGCCTTGATAGCTCTCATACCATGTTGGGCTGAGAAAAGCCCTTAGGATCTTTGCAGGGCTAAACTCTGGTAGGACTTGTTGTAATAGCGGAAGCTTAATGAGAAGTGTTTGAACCACCTTGCGCTAGTATGTGAGGGCAAAGTAGATTAATTAAAGCAAAGAGATACAAGATTATATAAGAGTACAAGGAATACGAAGAGATACGGTTGTAACTATTTTACTGTTGCTGTTGCGGTTCGATACAGTGACGACTCAGGCAACTGCTCCGTAGCGAGTCAGTTGTGTGTCCTTGCTGTCGCGCTGTACTCTGTCAGGTCAAAGGTCGCTGACCTTTGGCTTTCGCGTAACCTCCAACAGTTGTTTTTAACCTCCGAGGGTTGACTCGCCGGTGCTTCGATATGCTTCGCTTCGTTTGTGCCTTAGTGTTTTGACACGACAGAGGCGCTTAAGATCGATTGTTTCCAACATATGTAATGTGGCATTAGTCCTACAATTCGCCTCCAGTACTGGTCTTTGAACAGGCCAGATACACATGTATGCCAATCTTCCAGAATAATACAGCGAATCTTTTATCAAGATGCATATGGTTAATAAAGCTGTCATTAACTGGATAAAGATGTTTTCGTAATATAACTTCATGTGTTTTGTATATAGATCGATGCTACTAATATTTCAATATTTCAAGCTTGATAATGTGTATTCTGATCTAAAGAGGTTATTTTTCTGGAGACATAGGCAAATGGGAAAGTGAAGTGCGCCTATTGTAATTTGTGGGTTCGGTTGGAGTGTATTCTGGTCAATTCCTTGTAAATCACGTTCGAGAGGTCACGGTTTCGTAAGACACCCACGTTGTCCACGACCCTGCAGGTAGGGAGCACTCCAACCACGTACTCGCGTGTACGGAGCCTGTTGTGGAGGGAACGCTCACCGTGCCTGTTGTGGAGGGAGCCCTCCGAGCCACTTCACTTCACTCCGAGCCCTGCAGGTGAAATTGCACAACCAGCCCTTGCGCGCCCACCAAATTTTCGCAAGCGAACCTTGGTCCAGCAGTAACCCAGGAGCTCAAATTTCGCCCGTCGCCAGCCCTTGGGCCTTGCTCTGTGGTTTGTGAGACCTTCGCCACGTAAGCACGCGTCGCAGTTTCGCCCAAGTACAGACGTGAATCCGTGCGTGGAATGTGCCACATCGGCGAGCATGGAACGCCGTCAGCAGACGGTCATGGGCGCTGAGCCCATATCCAGCGCAAGTGCCGCACGTTGTGCTTCTGCGGGCCAGGGACCGTGGGAGGGGAGACGACGGGGAAGAGGTGGCGCACGCGAACGAGTCGCGCTGGCGTACGCCAGATTTGTCATAAATTTGATCGAATCCGGGGCTTGATTCGTGTGACTTGAAATTGTTGAATTGGGCCCTCCTCACAAGCACCAGTAGCCTACAAGGGTATTGTGAGTGCATCACTTTACACCGACAATCTCAGGAGCTGCTTAGAATCCATGCGAGTAGTATCATAGCTCGGCCCAACAGATGATCTCTCCCAGCAAGAATAATTAGAACGCTTCGTCTTTATCTCAGTCAGTTATTTTGAGAGAAATTACTGTCAGACCAAGGGTTCGACTAGCAAAGCAGCGCCGCTGCCCAAGATGGCGGTACCATGGAGAGCTGTTCTTCTGACAATTTGCATTCTGCTCATCCCAGCCGCCTTCGCAGGTGCGATTTTACGAAAGGTTTGCGTTGTTCCGCTAACACGAAAAGTGTGTAATTCACCTGAGTGAACAACCACCTCCAGTCTTCGTTTCACTTCCCTTGCCTCCTCATTTGGCCTGCTCACAGCAACCGTGCACCTTTGCCGTCCTGTGCGTCCTTTGACCTGAAGTCTCATACTTCACTCCGACCCCCGGAAAGAGTCCGTTCTGACCGCCACTTTCGCGACTGCTGCCTGTGCTGTGATGCTTCCCCTTGCGCCATTTTCAGCCGAAGCATGGGAAGCGGACGCGGATATGATGGAACTGCAGACAGAACTGCATCAATTAGATCTCTCCGAGGACGATACCCTCCCGCCCATCGAAATCGACACCTTTGAGCCCGTGAGAAGAGGTACGTTCCGAAGTGCATCAGTTTCCAGTTTGCTGCAGATAATGAGCGTGGAAAGGCTAGGAACAAAGGAATGGAACCCTCGGTTGCTGTTTTCGGAACCCGCCGCTCGAGAGTGGTTTTCTTCAAGCACCTTGTCGTGTTTTTGAACGCCGGTTCTGGTGAGTCTGACTTCTCGAAACTCATTTTGTTTCGTCCCACGCAGAACGCATTCTTAAATCCGCAAGCGCCGTGGACGAGGGAACTCCGTTAAACCGCACTACCGTGGGAGCGGCCAGCAAGCCGGAGAAGAGGAAGACCGGGGGACACAAGAAGAAGACAGGGGGTCACAAGAAGGGAGGCGGGCATAAGAAGGGCGGCGGGCACAAGAAGGGGAAGGGGAAGAGCGCGACAGAGGCCCCTGCGACCAAGACACCCGTTGCACCCACCACGCCAGGCAATTTCCCCAAACTACCAGTTGCATCTGCAACCCCCCCCGCGGTTACTAAAACGCCCGTCGTTCCCAAGACACCCGTGGTTCCCAAGACGCCCGTGGTTCCTAAGACTCCCGTCGCTCCTAAGACGCCTGTCGTTCCTAAGACGCCCGTGGTTCCTAAGACGCCTGTGGTTCCTAAGACGCCTGTCGTTCCTAAGACGCCCGTGGCTCCTAAGTCGCCTGTCGTTCCTAAGACCCCCGTGGTTCCTAAGACGCCTGTGGTCCCTAAGACTCCTGTGGCTCCTAAGACGCCAGTGCTTCCTAAGGCTCCCGTCGCTCCTAAGACGCCTGTCGTTCCTAAGACGCCCGTCGTCCCCAAAACCCCTGTCGCCGTCGCAAAGAAGCCAGTCACGAAGCGTCCCATCGCAGAAACCCCTTCGAAAACCCCCGTCGTTCTGCCGACGCACCCAGTCATCCCCACGGCGCCACGTGTCCCACCCGTCGAGGACCCCCCCGTGGTGGGCACGCGCGTCGGCGTGTGGAACCTCCCCAACTTCAAGAACCTCCCCGTGGCTCTCAAGCCCGCGTTGATCACGTGGCCGAGCACAACCGCCACGTGCGTGACTCTCCCGCGCGGATTCTACGCGAATCTGCACTCGGCGAAGGTGGTTTGGAACGCGGCGGATAAGACGCACAACCACTTCATCTGTCAGTCGGTTACGTTTTGGATGAAGGCGGGGTGCACGGGCGGCGGAGTGTTCGTGAGCCTGCCTCTGCCCGCGGATCCGAATAAGTTCGACTATCCGATCTCTGCTGTGAAGGCGTTTCCTGCGGAGAACAGCCGCGCCGTCTCCGTCTCGTGCACTATTGGTGAGTGCCGTAGCGCTTTGTCGTTACCGTTGTCATCACCATAACGAACACCGTCTGCGTTACCGTCAGCATCGCCGTCCCGGTCACCGTCACGTAATCCCTTGCCTTTTCATGTCTTCCCCGCGCATATCCCCAAGATCGCCTTCTCATCGACAATTTTTTTCCTTTCCTCCCCGTCCCGCTCTCCGCGTCTGTCTCGCATCCGTTTTCAGCCAAGAGCGCGTGTTCGACAGTCCGCTGCCCCGTCCACTCCAAATGCACCGTGACTGCCGCCGGTGCTGCCGCGTGTACATGCAAGCGCGGATACACGTCCATCGGCGGCAAGTGCATCAGTACGTTCACGACTCCCGCCCCCTTCACTCCCTCCGCCTCTACCCGTTCCTCTACCGCAGTTACCCTCGCGAATACCCGCTCTCATACGCAATCCCCCCCCCACAAGCGTTCCCCCTCCCCTTCCCCCCCGCGTCCTTCGGCGTCCTCGCCGGCCGCTAAGAAGAAAAACGAAACGAAATCCAAGAAAAGTGAGCGTTCGATTTTGGTCACCATGAGCTTCTTGCTTCCGTACCACTCCCTCCCTTCTCACTCTCCACCTCCCTCTCCATTCCATCCTCACCGTCGTCATCCCCTTCTCTCCCCTTGCGTTCCGCCATTGCTCCCCCCGTCACAACGCGCAGACGTGTGCGCGTCCGTGACCTGCCCCGCGGGAGCGTCGTGCCAGGCCACCAACGGCAAAGCGCTCTGCATCTGCCGCAGCGGCAGCCCGCCCGTCGGCGGCCTCTGCAAAGGTGCGCGCGTGCCCCGCCACCTCCCCTGACCTTCTCCCCACTTGCTGCAGGCGCTTTTTTTGAGTTCTAAAAAACAACTCTGTTCACTCATGCACCTCCGCTGCTTCTGCTCACCTGTCCTCGCGTGCTTGTTTCTCCCCGTTCCGTTGCTTCCCCCCAGCAGAGGCCACCGGCACCACCGCGGTTCTTGAGTACATCATGGGGCATAATGCCGCCCGCAGCGCCATCGGCCTCGCGCCGCTCGCGTGGAACGCGTCATGTAAGCCGTCCGCCTCCCGTTTTCCCTTCGTTAAATGTTCTGTACGCGCATCTCTGTCGTGCACGCCCCTAGTCCTGCGCGTCTCCCGCGCACGCATCCTCACCATCGCCCTCCGCTTTCGTCCCCTTTCTCGTGCCTTCCCACTCCCTACTCACCCCCCCTCCCCCCTTTTTCTCTTTTCCCCTTCCGCCTTCCTCCTGCAGTGGCGCTCCGCGCGCAGGGCTGGGCGCGCGTGCTGGCGCAGAAGCACCAGTGCATGCAGCTCGAGCATGGCGACACCAAGGGCGTGGGGCAGAACCTCTTCGCGGGCTGCTGTAACGGATTCTACAAAAACGCGGACGCAGTGCAGGCGTGGGTGGATGAGATCAAGGATTACAAGCACGGGAAATACCCCAACTCGTGCCGCGCTGGGAAGCAGTGCGGGCACTACACGCAAGTGGTTTGGGAGACTACAAAGCAGGTTGGGTGCGGTCGTGTGGATTGCGCGAATGGGTGGACGGTTTGGGCGTGCGATTACTACCCCCCTGGTAACTACATCGGGCAATTCCCTTATTGACAGACGCAGTAAGCGGATCGACAGGGTTCACTGCGAGAGGAAATAACTATAGGTCGATTACACACGCCCGTGCGATTTTTGTTTGTGCAGGCTTATTAACTGTAGGTTGTTTTGCTAGACCAGCTAGACCGGAGCATGGTAGAAAGAGATGCGCTCTCTAGTGTCAGTTCTTAGATGCGCAAGTTGATAATAAAAGCAAGCGGCATTCAGTTACCCCATCTTAAAGTTCTGCTTCAAATGGCCTGCTCGAAATGGAAAATCAGCAGCACAAAAAGCGGGAATTTGTGGTACACTTCCACTTCATCTCATACTTTGCCAATTCCATTTCTAGCTCCTCCACAGCAGCCATAGCAGCAGCCTCTGTAGCATCGTCTGACACTCTCGCAGCACTATCAGCATCACCGGCCACAGTTTCACTGGACTCAACTCTACCTGCAGCATCTGCTGCACCAAACTCAGCACCAGAACCACGAGAAGTTGTACCACCACCAGCAGCGGCAGCAGCAGCAGCAGCAGCAGCGGCAGCGGCAGCAGCGGCAGCGGCAGCAGCGGCAGCAGCGTAGCAGCATAGGTGCATGAGCTCAAGCGTGCGGGGAAGAGGCGGGCATCCAGACATGTGCATGTCCTTCAATACACCCCGTAGGAACACAACCGGTGGCGGGAGTGAGGACGGGGAGGACGCACCAGTTCTGCTGCTAGTGCTGCTGCCACTGCTGCTGCTGCTGCTGCTGCTGCTGCTTCTGCTTTGCTGGCTGGTGTTGGTGTCGAGAATTACAAGGGAATTCGCAGAATTCACAGCCGCAGCAGCAGCAGCAGAACCACGCAAAACATGACTACCACGTGCAGCATGAATGGCAGTTGCAGTTGCAGTGGTGGTGGCCGTAGCAGATGCAGTGGCGGTGGCAGTGGTGAGGTAGGTTTGGAGGAGCATGTGGAAGTTGGGGAGAGTGGGACGGTACGGCGGCAAGGTGCTGTGCATGTGGAGGAAGAGAGCCTGGGAGTCATGCAGACTGCGAGCCTGGAGAGGGGGAGAGAGGGGGCGAGGGAGAGGGAGCGGGAGTTTTGAGACGTCTCAAATGGCGGCAAGGTGCTGTGCATGTGGAGGAAAAAAGCCTGGGAGTCATGCAGACTGCGGGCCTGGAGAGGGGGAGAGAGGGGGTGACGGAGAGGGAGAGAGGGCGGCTATGGAAGAATAGGAGAGAAGAAAGCACCTGTGCGGACCGGGGAAAGAGGGCGCCATTGGTGGAGTGGACGGATGTAGAAGCTTCCTTGCATTGTGCTGGCATGTGACAAATCGTACTTCACATGCACTCATCCTACAAGACCTAAATCACCTGAATCGCCTGAATCACCTGAATCACCTGGATCACCTGACAGATTTGTCAATGCATCGCTTGAATCACTTCCTTCCCACCCGTCACACCACCTGCCCTCCTCATACCATCCCCACCACTCACACCATCCCCATCTCACCTCTCGAAACGCCTCCAGAACAGCTTGCACGCAAGCCGGTTCCCAACACGCCTCCTCTCCCTCTCTCGCCCCTCCTAACTCCTCCATTCGCCCCAATCCTCCCCGCGCTTCCTCCCTTCCATATCTCCCTGCTACACGCCCCCCCGTAGCCCCCATTGCCCCCCCCATCGGCCCCATTGGCCCAATCCCCCCCATCCCCACACCCTCCCCAGCCACAGCAGTATCTCTCCCTTCCCTCCTGCCACCGCCCCTCCGTCCACCGCTACCCCTCTGCCACCGCCCCTGCCACTGCCTCACCTCACCAGCAGCCACCCCCCTCTTCCCTGGTTCCCCCTCCCCCTGCCTCCGCTCGTTCGGCTCTTTGTCCCTCTTCTCATGCTGCTCCTGCTCCTCCTCTCTACTGCCAGACCCCCATTCCTGAAGTGACATCTGAGGTGATAGCTCAGGTGACATGTGAGGTGATTCGAAAGGCCTCCCACTCATGGCTTCAATCGCAGTCCTGGCAGCAGCAGCAGCGTCATCCACTGCCCCCACCCGCAGATACGCATGGATCACCGCCGCCCGCCACGATCCCGAACCTGACAGGCCTGGCACCGAGCCTGGCAAGCTGGTTCGGGAACTGGGCCTGTGTGGTAACGCCGACGGGGAGTCTGACCTGCTGCTCTTCCCTGACAGGCGTGATGTTGACAGCTCAGCAATTCCTCGAGCCAGTACCTTTAGGTTCGGCAAGAGGCCCGGGAGGGCGCAGGCATGGATAAGCCGAATGTAATCAGAGACGTGAAGAGAGAAGGGGGGAAAGCGAGTGGAGGAGTGAGTAGGGACGGGAGATTGCGAGGCCTTTGGTCCAGCTATAGAGGTGGAGAGGGAGGAGGAGGGGGAGGAGGATAGGGAGGAAGACGGAACAAGTGAGACGAGTGCTCTGACTTCCTCAACCACTTCCCTTTCCTCCTTCCCTTCCTCGCTCTCCCTCCCACTCTCATCCCTCCCGCCCCCTCCTATCGCAATCCCATCTCCTCCACTCCTGTTCTCCCTGCCGTTCCCCGCACACCCCTCCAATCCCCGCACGCCTAGACCCCCTAGCCCCTCCAGAAGCACCCTCACCACGCCCTCCCTGCCTTGTATAGAAGCCACCTGCGCCACCCCCACCAGTGCACTCGCCACACCCTCTCTCGCAATAAGTCCAGATGTATTCGCGCCCACTACCCACGCCACTGCATCTGCAAGCCCTCCTCTCTCCGCCACCACCCTTGCCACTTCCGCCACTGCCGCCACCGCCGCTGCTGCTGCTGCAGACCGTCCCGTGCTGCTGCTGCTGCTGCTTCTGCTGCTACCGCTGCTACTGCTGCTACTGCTGCTCGTTTCGCCTGCGTGTCTGCCTAAGTCTGCATGCTCTGATGCTTGCTGCAGCAGCTGGCATGCTGTGGAGAGCGCTTTGGGCGTGCAGCAGGGGGCGAGGAGCATGAGAAGCAGGAGGAGGTGGGGCGTGGATGGAGATACGCGAAGGAAGGGAACGACGGGGAGGGAGGGGGAGGAGAAGGAGGAGGAAGAGAAGGATTGCTGCTGCTGCTGCTGCTGCTGTTGCTGCAGCATGTGAGATCTCTCTTGTTCCTGCCACCACCAGCGTTGCCAGCAGCAGCACCACCAGAGCAGGACCCTAGAAGCAACCTTCACAGCCCCCCTCTCTTGCAAACCCCCCACCACCGCCGCCACCACCGATGCTGTCAGCCCTCGCTGCACGCGCCTCAGCTGCCGATCCACCGCCGCCGAGCCTCGTGTCGCCAGCAGGAGGTTCGGCGGGGGAGGCTCGGGAGGCGGGTCCCAGAGCAAAGCCTGCGGGCGATACTGATTCTGCTGCTGCTGCTGCTGCTGCTGCTGCTGCTGCTGCCACTGCTGCCGCTCCTCCTTCCGTTGCTGCTGTTGCTGTCTGACTGGCATCGCTTGTGTCCCTGCTGGTTGAGAGAGTGGAAGGTTCGGATCTGGAGGGAAGAGCAGCAGCAGCAGGTGCTGCCACGTGCCCACAGGCCACCCTCGCATGCTTCCCAGAAACCTCCCGATCTCAAACCCCGTCACATCAGCACTATCACCCAATCCCACCTTCCTGCCACTGCTGCTGCTCCTGCTGGTACTTTTCCTACTGGTATCAGCACTACTAGTATAGACATTCTCACTGGTACCCGAGCTCGTCTTATTCGAGCTCTCGACAAAAGGAGACGACCAATCAAGGCTCTCCATGCGCGCCAGCTCAGCAACCAGCTCGTCAACCACCAGGAACTCGCTCTTCGGCAAATGGCGGCCCGACACGTGGCGCTCCAGCGGCCTCCCGAGGCGGAGGCGCTGCATGGTGGGCGGCAGGCGCGTGTCACGGCGTGAAAGGCGGCCAGGGCGCTGGGTGCTGCGAGCGCGGGGAAGGGGAAGCGGCGTGGGGCGGGATAGGTGCGTCTCGGGGAAGGGGAGGCGCGGATTGGGAGAGTATTTGGATGGGAGGTCATCATGTGGTGGGTTCGGTGCGGACCTAGGTTCAGGAGGGAGGGTACGTGGGTCCTGCTGAGACGTGTCAAAACGCGGATTGGGGGAGTATTTGGATGGAAGGGCATTATGTGGGTTCGGTGCGGACCTAGGTTTAGGAGGGAGGGTATGTGGGTCCTGCTGAGACGCGTCAAAACGCGGATTAGAAGTCCATTTAGGCGGGAGGGCGTGGGGGTTTCGTGCATATCCAGGCGACTTTTGAGTCGACTCAAAAGGGAGAGGAGACCGTGTGGATGGGAGGCCACGTGGGTCACGTGGGTCACGTGGGTCATGTTGGTCCCGTACAGGTGGATTCGGTGCACGTGTGCCTGCAGGTGCTGGAAGGACAGGATAATCTTCCAAACTCCCCCTGTTCTGTGGTGTGGGTGAGGGTGACCCTGGGTTTAGACTCCGTAACGCTGAATCTGACCGCCCAGTGCCCTGGTTGCGGAACCCTCGTGTCGGGTTGCTTTCGCTGGTAGGCACGGGAAGAGCTCGGGGAAGTTCGGCGGCGGGTGTGCGTTGAGGGTGGCGGCGTGCGGGTTTCCTGTTAGGATAGAGTGGCCCTGTTGTTGCCCATGCTGCTGCTGCCGCTGGTGGTGGTGGTGGTGGTGCTGCTGCTGCTGTTGTTGTTGGCGCTGGTGCTGCTGGTGCTGCTGGTGCTGCTGGTGCTGCTGGTGCTGCTGGTGCTGTTGATTTTGATGATGATGCGTCACGTCTACCTCTGCCAAAGGAGTGAGACGGGTGTGCTTCGGCGCGCGGGAATAAAAAGCCGCGGCGACTAGGGACGCGCGGAAGGAGTCGCGGAGTTACCCGCGGAAGGACGCGCGGAGGGCAGAGAGGAAGAGCGGGACGCGGGCTGGAATGGGGAGAAGGGGACAGGGTCGCGGGCAGGAATGCGCGTGCGGGTGCGCTTGCGAGTGTCCGTGCGCGGAATGCGCGGGATACGTTGATTTGAAGCGGCGGTACGGTCTGGGGAGAAATGAGTGAGCATGCCATGATGAATCGATCAAACAATGCTCTAACGATCCTCGCTGCTGCTCGCTCGGGGTGATACGGGTGATTTGGCGCGAACCGCACTGAGAAAGTGCGCGTCTCAGCTCAGGGATGGAAGTGGTATCGGGGTTGTCTGAGCATGGCGAAAATTCCAGCAAGAGTATGCAGATATGATGATTTTAGAGATTTGAGCAGTGCATTCAGTGAGATATATAAATCAGACTTTTTCTTAGCGAATCTATTCGAACTCCGTACTCGGGTCCGTACGTATCATGTCCCCTTCACAACCGTACGGCACTACCGTAGCCATCTGATAGTTTGCGACCCGTGCACAAACATATCGCACCCCGTCCGTCACAGTTTTCGCCAGTTCTCTTCGCCACCCGTACGAGCAGTATGCGAATCCATTCGCCATCCGATCCGGACCATCTCATGTCACTCCGGCCAAGGATATATGACCAAAACTGATGCTCCACCATACAGTATAACACACCCGTGTCTAACGCACTCTCTAAACATGTAACCAAGAACCTCTCGCGACTGATGTGTCGGAACGCGGAAGCGTTCTTGAGGAATACTCCTCTTTCAATGCCGCTCCCGCCGCTTCCCCTCACCTTCGTCATCGTCCTCGTCCTTCTCTCGTGCGCTCCGCCGTTTTTGTCGCCGCGATTCGCGGCGGCGGAGGATCTTTTCGGCGGCGATACCGGCGTTCGCGAGCTCGACGCTGCCAGTCTCGCGAACGAAGTCCTCGCGCCGCTCCGCGCGCCGCCGCACTTAGCGCCGCTTCCCCCGCCGCTGCAGCCGCCGCTTCATCCGCAGCAGCGGGAGGCACTAGTGGTACGGCCGTCCCCGTTACAGTCAGAAAGGAAGGGGGAGGAGGAAGAGGAAGCGGAAGAGGACGCGGAAGAGGAGGCGGAAGACGAGGCGGAAGGGGAGGCGGATCTGTTAGGATTACAGGGGGGGGGAAGCGAGGGTGCGCGGAGAGCGGCGGACAGCGGAGATGGAGCCCAGGGGGACGCGTGGCAGCGGGGAGTTCGGGGGAACGGGGGGCGGAAGGCGGCGGGAGGGTGGGGGAGAAGCGGCGGAGAGCGCGGCAGGGTGCTAGCGGGGCGGCTATATGGAGGTGGGGGGGGAGATGAAACGCGTGCAGTGGGGGGTGGCGCAGAGGAGGGGAAAGACACGGGGGAGAATGAGGGGACAGCGGAAGAGGGGGAGGAGGTGGGGGAGGAAGGGGGGGAAGAAAAGGGGGAGGAAGAGGGGGGGGGAAGGGGGGAGGAAGAGGAGGGACAAGAGGGAGAGAAAGAAATGGAGGAGGGGGGGGAAGGTGGGGAAGATGAGGAAGAAGGGGAAGAGAGCGAAGAAGGGGAAGAAGGGGAGGGAGGAGAGGAAGGTGACAGTGACAGGCAAGAGGCGAGAGAGGAATCCAGAGTTGTGAGAAAAGCAGCATCGGTGGCTGGTAGGCTAGGGGTTCCAGAGGTGACTGGGAAGGTACTGAAGCGAACCACTCATGAGAATGAGAGGCAAGAACAGGAGGAGTGGGATGGAGGAAGGATGGAGGAAGGAAGAAGGAGCAAATCTCTTCCGTTGGCTGATGCATTCGAATCACTTGCGTCCAGCCATAAAGCTTCCCATACCTCCTTTTCTTCTTCTTCCTCCTCCTCCTCCTCCTCCTCCTCCTCCTCCTCCTCCTCCTCCTCCTCCTCCTCCTCCTCCTCTCCTTCCTCCTCCTCCTCACCCTCGCTCCCTCCACTCACCTCCCCAACCCCTCCTGCAGTCCCTATCTGGCTAGTGGCATGGTATCACCCCCTGTGCCACCACTGCAGGGCCCTCAGGCCGCACATCATAGCTGCTGCTGCTGCCGTCGCACACACGGGGATGCACGTGGGAGCAGTCAACTGCGAGAAGCACTAGTATGGATTCCTCTCAGCCTTCCATTCGGCCTCTCCTTTCTATATTCAGCCTTTCTACTATATATAGTATGTGCGTGGGGTCGATGCCTTCCATTCACGTTCTTGCTTCCTACTGCCACACCACACCACTCACCGAATTCCTTCTCCCCCTTGTCTCTTGCTGCCTTCTACTCAATCCGCCTCGTGATCTTTCTTTACCGTTGTGCCCAAAGTTCCAACTTCGCTTCATAACAGGCAGCAGCCTCCATCCTGCTCTAGGTTCTAGGTGTAAAAAAAAAAAAAAAAAAAAAAAAAAAAAGTATCTACGTTCCTTCTCCTTCCCTGCTAACCCCCACCTCACTCCGCCCCTCACTCCCCTCCCACCCCCCCCTTCCTCTCTCACCACGCAGCATCCTCGCAGCGCAATACGGCATCGTCTCCTTCCCCACCATACACCTCTTCAGCCCCACGCACACGGACCCGCCTCTCCTCTACCACGGCTTCCGCTCCTCCTCCTCTATCACCGCAGCCCTCTCCGCCTTTGCTGCTTCCAACGGCACGCGCCTGCCCGTCACCCCCTCCTCGATCCTCTTCCGCACTGCACACGATCTCCAGATGATGCGCGCTCGCCCGTCTGCAAAGGCCCCGTTTCTCCTCTCGCTCATCGCTCTCTCCGTTCTCTCGCTCCTGCTCTCGCTGGCCAAGTCCCCTGTGCCGCACTCTCCTCTCGCCTCCCCTGGCCCAGGCGGTAACGTGGGAGGGGCGGCTGAATCGGGTGTTTTTTTCCGGATGTTTTCATTGCCCAGGTGGCTGCGGCGGGGCCAGGTGTTTTCTCAGGTGGGGGGGAGGAAGGGTGGAATGGTGGGAGGGGTGGGTGGGGAGGGTGGGTTGGAGGGGAGAGCCGAGTTGGTGGTGAGAGGGCAAGGTGTTGAAGGGTTGGGAGGGCGAGAGATTGGGGGAGGAGGAGAGATTGTGGGGCGAGGTGGGGACATCAGAAGAGCTGTGCTGGTGCGGCGATAAGAGGTGCGTGCCAAGTGTGCGGGGTGACTTTTGAGTCGACTCAAAGGTCACCTCGTTACAATGGCGCACGGCAGATTGTGGGGCGAGGTGCTGAAGGGATGGGAGGGCGAGAGATTGTGGGGCGAGGTGGTGACATCAGACGAGCTGTGCTGGTGCGGCGATAAGAGGTGCGTGCCAAGTGTGCGGGGTGACTTTTGAGTCGACTTCAAAGCCACCTCGTTACAATGGCGCACGGCAGATTGTGGGGCGAGGTGCTGACATCAGACGAGCTGTGCTGGTGCGACGATAAGATGTGGAGTGTGCTGGGTGTGAAGGGCTGGTCCTGCTGGGAAGGGGAGGGAGCGGTGTACAGTAGACATGTAAGTGTATAGGTTTGTGAATGCATATGTAGGAAGAGGGAGAGAGGGAGGATGGGAGATACCGGTACGAGAGACGAGAACATGGGATAGAGCGATTGGGTGGGGTGAGGACGAGGGGCGAGTGAGGGCAGTGAGGGAGAAGCGGAGGAAAAGGGGGTGGGGATGGTTGTGACGTCCAGAAGGTTAGACCACTGGGGCTTGGAGTAGGAGCAGGAGGGAGAGGAGAGAGGGGTCGGTTAGGAATTCAACGTATCGTACCGTATTCATGCTTGTGTTTCAGCCAAGAGTTATAGTAAGTTCATTCCAGGACGTCTCTGAAACCGTCTCAAGCGGTAATATAAAAGTTTGAAATATGGTAATGCCCCGTGTATATGCCGGTAAGACTCACACCAAGCTTATGAATATGCGAAACATGGAAATTGCAACCGCAGCCCCCTGGATAAACCACCCCCCGTAGTTAAAAGACCCACGGTAGCTTATGTGGATGGAGGGGTTTTGGTTCGGACAGCCCCCCATATTTATCTTGGGCCTGGCTGATCCACCTGCCTGGTGGTGGATGGATGGAGTCCATTGCAAAAAACGGGATCACTGCTGAAATACCAGGTGGCGCAGCGCCGCGTGAAAATATCATAATAATGAAGAGCCCGCAAGAGCCTTCATTCTCTCTAATATACAAGTGAAGAATACTTGTAGGAGATAATGTGTAGATGCACTGGTGTTTAGGAATTTAGTGTAAGAAGTTTAGAAAAGGAAAAAGCAGCCTGGTCAGGTGTAGTGTCAAGCGGATCACTAGCGGAGACGGTGGTGGAGGTGAAAGAACCACCACACCTCCCACAGACGAAACGCGTATGATTTTGCTGACACGACAGTGTCTAGGGGATCGCAATGAGGCTTGAAGTTGTTACCCTCAGTGGTTAGTGCTTCTATTTTGCCGAAATACACAGGTCTCTCATGCCTCTTCAAGTACACTTGTCCAACCTGGACTTGGAGGATGGCTACTTGGCCGAGACTCGGTGCCCGCAGATGGATTTGAAACGAATGCTTAGCTGAATACATCCATGGGTTAATCGGAAAATATTTGCGAATTCCCCGACATTTTTCTCAACAACCATCTCCTTCACACCGACAACGTCGTTGAATACCTTCGACGAAAACAAAGCGCATGTCCCGCTCCCTTCCCCACGTTTAAAGGCGGGGTGCAACTTCTTAGGAACAGTAGCAGGACAAACATGGAGTGTGCGTAACGAGACCCTTATTGGATGAAAAAAATGGAATCTCGGAAAAGACAAACTTCTCGCCACAGAACTGCCTGGGACAACCAAGTTCCAAGCTATAATACTTCGAAGTTGAAGCTGATAGTTGGGCCACGGCTTTAACCAAGGATGCGCAGTGGGCACAGCACACTGCTTCAACCCAGGAAACGGGTGAGCAGCATGCTCCAGCAGCACACTGTACTCAATGTGGGTCTTCTTGACAAGTGGTCCTATGGCCCAACTTTCCACAGCACGGAACTTTTCGTTGATCTGCCCAATCTCACTTTCACTTCACAGCTCATCATCCGCAAGGCACATCTCCCTCCCCCGTGTCTCGTGCTGCCTCGCAAACTACAGCGAGGATGGTGGGATGGAGAAAAAAGAACAGGTTGTTGAAGCCTATTTTCCGTTACACAAACCCACCCACGCTCCACAGTAGAATCGTGCCTGCCCGCGCCAGGTTCAGTTGACGCTGTTTGCAAGAAATGCACCGCAATTCTCCAACATCGAATCGCGAATCGCGAAGCGCGCCGCAACCCGGTCACCTCCCCAAATCCAACCCAACAAGAAGAATTCGAGCATAAAGGCTGCTAATTTCTTCAGGCAAACCCGCCATTCCACAACCACGGAAGCTAGTAGCACCATTACTCCCTCGCTAACTGAGTCGTTTATCACAACCTTCGACACACGCGATTCAGCATTCCACCTGTCCTCTCCTCTGGCAATCCCTTTCCGAAAGTCACGATGGCGCCACGTCTTTCCAGTCTTCCTTTCTTTCTCATCGTTCTCTCCATGATCGCACTCGCGACAACCCCAGCCCTTGCGGCGCGACACAGAGCAGCCCCCGCGGTGACCTTGCTGGACAAGGCTATCAAAGCGCGAGCTCTCGCCGACAAAGCCTCCGCAGCAGCCGCAGAGGCCGAGGCGATCGCGGAACAGCGCAGGCAAGACGAAGCCGCGGCGCTCGCCGACCTCAACGCCGCCATCGCAGCCGCGGACGCCGCCGCCGCCGCGCTCACCACCGCGAAAACCGGCGCGACGTCCGCGGCCGCGGCGAAGGGAAACGCGAAGAAATCTCTCGACGCCGCGAAGAAGCAGCTCGACGACATGAAGAAAGCCCGCGAAACTAAGTCGAAGAACGTTGTAAAACAAAAGGCCGACGTGAAAACCGCAGAGGCGAAGGTCAAAGCGGCGCAGCAGAAGCTAGAGAAGGCCAACGCGGAGAAATCCAAGCAGGAGAAGATCGCGGCGGACGCGAAAGCAGCGGGCGACGCGGCGGAGCAGGAGGCGAAGAAGAAGAAGGGCGACAAGGCGTTGGCGAACAAGGCGAAGAAAGCCGGCGACGACGCGAAGAAAGCCAAGGAGCAGGCCGACGCGCTCGCGAAGGAGGCGCTCGTGGCGGAGCAGGCGCTAGCGGCGGCGGAGGACGCGGCGGAGAAGGAGCAGGACGAGGCGAGCGCGGCGGAGAGCGCCAGCGCGCCGACGGACGCGGAGCTGGAGAAGGAAGACGAGGTGGCGGAGGCGGCGGACGACGCGCAAGAGGCGGAGGCGGCGCAGAAGGCTGCGGAGGTCAGCGTGAAGGACGCGGAGAAGGCGCTCAAGCGCGCGTTCGTGGCGGTGAAGCAGGCGCGCGCGGCGTGGAAGAATAAGAACGCGCTGCGACTGGCCGCGGAGAAGAAGGCGGCGCAGAAGGCGGCGATCGCGGCTGCATTCGACGCCAAGGCGGACGCGGCTGAGCGTGCTGCTGGCATCGCCGCCCCTCCCTCCGCGCCTGCATCCCACCCCGCGCCTGGCTCTAACCCCGCGCCTGGCTCGCACCCCGCGCCTGGCTCGCAGCCCGCGCCTGGCTCGCACCCCGCGCCTGGCTCTAACCCTGCGCCCGGCTCTAATCCCGCGCCTGGCTCAAATCCTGCGCCTGGCTCACAAGCCGCCCCTGGCTCCATACCTGCTCAGGGGTCGCACCCCGCACCCAGCTCTACCTCTTCGCCCTAGAGAACTGATGGCTCGTGTGCTATCCCACTACTGAAGATGCAAATAGTGGGGCTAGATTATCTTGCCTGGTAGGAGAGTTGTAGATACGGTATGTGAATGTATATGACATCCCTTTGTTGTGATATGAATGTAATATACGCACATCAATACAGTTACAATGCAGTTTCGAACACTTCATGCGTGACTAGTGAGCAAGGCATGGTGTTCAATCAGTGCCACACTAAGGGAATCAGAGTTTAGTCCCAGACTGGGTCCCTGTGGAGGGATCTGACACCGTTCCATGCCATGCCTCTGTTCTTAGGTATTGGAGCAAGGCATGGTATTCAATCAGTGTGGCAGCTCCAATACCTTAGAACAGAGGCATGGCATGGAACGGCTTAGGAGCGAGAATGACATGCTCCGTGGTATGGTGGCTTGTGCTTCGGAGCAAATGGTAACAGGGAGGGGGTTGTGAGGGGGAGGGAAGTGAATGGAGCTGTGTTCAGTCAGTGTGTTTACTGTATGATTCACTGGCTTTAATTCTTGGTTTGTAGACAAAAACGAAAAATTCAGGATACCCCGAACAGAACTGATCCCGAAATCAGGTGTAGCTCTGAAGGAGGCATGGCATACAGGTGAGGCTTCATATAGGAAGGGCATGGGCTGTCAACCTATGCCGGTGATTTGCCTGCCAGGTGGGAGGAGAGGAGGGCAGGAGAAAGAGCAGGGAGAGAGGAGAAACGGGAAATGAGACGCATCATGCAAGAACCAGGGGGAAGGACGGGTAAAAGGAGGGAGCACAGAGGGAGCGAGTGGGAGAGGTGGGGTCATGGGGAGGTGGGGAATGGGGAAGGTGGGGCATTGGGAAGGTGGGGCATGGGGTAGCTGGGGCATGGGGGAGGTGGGGCATGCGGGAGGTGAATGGAGAAGCGCAGTTGTAAGGGTGTGGAAGTGGTGCTGGCGTATGTACGTACCTCTTCATTGGCCCCTGCTGCCATCTCCACTAGTGATGACTCCCTTGCCAACATGCTGCCATGCCATGTATGGGTGATGACATGCATGCACATGCACATACAAGCACACGCACATGTACATACAAGCACACGCACATGTACATACGGGTACACGCATACACATCCACATGCAAACAGTACATGCACACATAGACACAGGCGGGCACACATGCACACATGCACACATGCCCAAAACATACACAGCATGCACATTGCACAGAGCACATGGCAAGCACAAGGGAAAGCGGCAAGTACGGAGGTATATAGAGCACACACAGCCATACGAGCAGGGCCGACAGCAAAGCAGAAACAAACACCACTGTTGGTTGTGTGTGAGAGCAGAAACACACATTTCCGCCCTGCTCTCCTAATGACCCATACAGAGATTTAGGTGGCAAACGGAGCAATGGGATCAGTGACTGCAAGGGTTCGGTTCGGGCTCACAGGAGCACATGAACCGACAACGGCTAGATAGACTCGTATCGGGTACTGAGGTGACTTTTGAGTTGACTCAAAAGTCACCTCATTTAGGTGGCAAACGTTGCAGTGGGATCAGTGACTGCAAGAGTTCGGGCTCACGTGAGCACATCAACCGACAACGGCTAGATAGACTCGTTTCGGGTACTCGACATGATGGGCAGCACGAGTAGGAGCGAGAAGACCGCATCCAGCACAAGAGGGGACGTGGATTACTGCGCATCTCAAAGTCTGCAGGACTGAAAGCAGCATCTGCACGTGATAAAAGTGATATTTTGAGACGTCTCAAAATGTCACTTTTATCACGAGGGGACGTGGATTACTGCGCATCTCAAGACAGCAGGACTGCAAGCATCATCTGCTGCACGCACTGCCGTTTAACAGCAGTGCGTGCAGTGCAGCACAAAACAGTGCATGCATGCAGCACAAAAACAGGACGTACGATCTGGGAGAAAGCGAGTGATACGCGGGTGACCCGTTGACATGAGCCTTGCTCCCCCCCACCCTCCCGTCGCCCCCCTCCCAGTCCTCCGCATCGCTGTCATTGTCCTTGTGTCGTGGCGCCTTGGGTGGCATGGCTGAGAAGAACTGCGAGAAAGGGGGGGGGAGGGACGGGGAGAGAAGGGGAGGGTTGGGGAGGGAAGGCGAGGTCGAGTCGTGAGGAGCCTCCAAAGTAAACTCACAATCGTTGTCCTTGTGCTGCCGTGCCGCTTTGGGTGGCATGGCTGGGAAGAACTGCGAAAGGGGAGGGAGAGGCGGGTGGGGGGCGAGGGGAGGGAAGGGGAGGGTAGGGGAGGGAAGGGGAAGGAATGAGGGGAAGGCAGAAGGTTGTGAGGAGCCTCGAGTCTACAATCACTGCCATTGTCCTTGCGCTGCCATGCCACCTTGGATGGCATCTGTGAGAAAAACTGCAGAGCGCAAGAGGGAGGGGTGGGTGGGAGGGAGGGGGAGGGAGGAAAAGAAAAGAGAAAAGGACAACGGACACACCCAGGTCGAAGTTGACAGCGAGAGGGTGTGTGTGTCTGAAGAGAATGCAATGAATTTCGAACCTAGAGGTCAAAAGGCACAGGGGACTTAGTGCATGGAGATGTATTTTGAGGCGCCTCAAAATCCGTGAGCATTGAGGTGTATTTTGAGGCGCCTCAAAATCCGTGAGCATTGAGGTGTATTTTGAGGCGCCTCAAAATCCGTGAGCATGCCTTTTGCGCCCCAAGGCGAAGTCACACGGGCGTAGTGGATGCAATGTCATGCTATGCAATGCAATGCAATGCGCGCACACCTGGTGCATGGAGATGAGGACGACAGAGACCCCCAGGGCGAAGTTGATGGAGAGTGTGTGGCCGAAGTGCAAGGCGAGGCAGACGCAAAGCCATTTGAGTCGGGGTCAGAAGGGCATAGGGGAGGCAGTGCAATGCGCGCACACCTGGTGCATGGAGATGAGGACGACAGAGACCCCCAGGGCGAAGTTGATGGAGAGTGTGTGGCCGAAGTGCAAGGCGAGGCAGACGCAAAGCCATTTGAGTCGGGGTCAGAAGGGCATAGGGGAGGCAGTGCAATGCGCGCACACCTGGTGCATGGAGATGAGGACGACAGAGACCCCCAGGGCGAAGTTGATGGAGAGTGTGTGGCCGAAGTGCAAGGCGAGGCAGACGCAAAGCCATTTGAGTCGGGGTCAGAAGGGCATAGGGGAGGCAGTGCAATGCGCGCACACCTGGTGCATGGAGATGAGGACGACAGAGACCCCCAGGGCGAAGTTGATGGAGAGTGTGTGGCCGAAGTGCAAGGCGAGGCAGACGCAAAGCCATTTGAGTCGGGGTCAGAAGGGCATAGGGGAGGCAGTGCAATGCGCGCACACCTGGTGCATGGAGATGAGGACGACAGAGACCCCCAGGGCGAAGTTGATGGAGAGTGTGTGGCCGAAGTGCAAGGCGAGGCAGACGCAAAGCCATTTGAGTCGGGGTCAGAAGGGCATAGGGGAGGCAGTGCAATGCGCGCACACCTGGTGCATGGAGATGAGGACGACAGAGACCCCCAGGGCGAAGTTGATGGAGAGTGTGTGGCCGAAGTGCAAGGCGAGGCAGACGCAAAGCCATTTGAGTCGGGGTCAGAAGGGCATAGGGGAGGCAGTGCAATGCGCGCACACCTGGTGCATGGAGATGAGGACGACAGAGACCCCCAGGGCGAAGTTGATGGAGAGTGTGTGGCCGAAGTGCAAGGCGAGGCAGACGCAAAGCCATTTGAGTCGGGGTCAGAAGGGCATAGGGGAGGCAGTGCAATGCGCGCACACCTGGTGCATGGAGATGAGGACGACAGAGACCCCCAGGGCGAAGTTGATGGAGAGTGTGTGGCCGAAGTGCAAGGCGAGGCAGACGCAAAGCCATTTGAGTCGGGGTCAGAAGGGCATAGGGGAGGCAGTGCAATGCGCGCACACCTGGTGCATGGAGATGAGGACGACAGAGACCCCCAGGGCGAAGTTGATGGAGAGTGTGTGGCCGAAGTGCAAGGCGAGGCAGACGCAAAGCCATTTGAGTCGGGGTCAGAAGGGCATAGGGGAGGCAGTGCAATGCGCGCACACCTGGTGCATGGAGATGAGGACGACAGAGACCCCCAGGGCGAAGTTGATGGAGAGTGTGTGGCCGAAGTGCAAGGCGAGGCAGACGCAAAGCCATTTGAGTCGGGGTCAGAAGGGCATAGGGGAGGCAGTGCAATGCGCGCACACCTGGTGCATGGAGATGAGGACGACAGAGACCCCCAGGGCGAAGTTGATGGAAAGTGTGTTGCCGAAGTGCAAGGCGAGGCAGACGCAAAGCCATTTGAGTCGGGGTCAGAAGGGCATAGGGGAGGCAGTGCAATGCGCGCACACCTGGTGCATGGAGATGAGGACGACAGAGACCCCCAGGGCGAAGTTGATGGAGAGTGTGTGGCCGAAGTGCAATGCGAGGCAGACGCAAAGCCATTTGAGTCGGGGTCAGAAGGGCATAGGGGAGGCAGTGCAATGCGCGCACACCTGGTGCATGGAGATGAGGACGACAGAGACCCCCAGGGCGAAGTTGATGGAGAGTGTGTGGCCGAAGTGCAAGGCGAGGCAGACGCAAAGCCATTTGAGTCGGGGTCAGAAGGGCATAGGGGAGGCAGTGCAATGCGCGCACACCTGGTGCATGGAGATGAGGACGACAGAGACCCCCAGGGCGAAGTTGATGGAGAGTGTGTGGCCGAAGTGCAAGGCGAGGCAGACGCAAAGCCATTTGAGTCGGGGTCAGAAGGGCATAGGGGAGGCAGTGCAATGCGCGCACACCTGGTGCATGGAGATGAGGACGACAGAGACCCCCAGGGCGAAGTTGATGGAGAGTGTGTGGCCGAAGTGCAAGGCGAGGCAGACGCAAAGCCATTTGAGTCGGGGTCAGAAGGGCATAGGGGAGGCAGTGCAATGCGCGCACACCTGGTGCATGGAGATGAGGACGACAGAGACCCCCAGGGCGAAGTTGATGGAGAGTGTGTGGCCGAAGTGCAAGGCGAGGCAGACGCAAAGCCATTTGAGTCGGGGTCAGAAGGGCATAGGGGAGGC